TCCGGCTACAAAACCAAACAAAATGATCTTTTGAACGTTTGTACTGTTAAAATATATCGATTAAAAAAAAATCATAATGAAGTTTATTGTAAATATAATCTAATCTAAGATATTGTAAAAAGAAAATTTAAATTTGAAGTGTTATCATAATTTTCTTTAAAAGACTTTTTTACCCGCTTTAGACCTTTAATGATTGACCCATACCAAAAAAATATATCTTAAAGTAGAAAATCAGTCGATTATTATGTTTTTTTAGAATTAAAATCTGTTCAGTAGTTTTTGAGAAAAAAATTCCGAAAGTTTGTCGATTTCGTCACTTTTTTCACATTAAATTGTAAATATCTCGGAAACGACGCATTTTTCAAATTTTTGTCAAAGAACAATGAGTGTTTATTTTGGTCCATTTTACAATAACTCGATGAGTATTTATTTACAACTTTTTTTGTTTATAACAATTGACTGACCACGGCGAACTATATAAAAAATATGTAAATTATCAGAAAAATACACTATAAAATAAAATAAGTGTCATGCTGTAGGTTTTTGTTTTAAAAATTTAGTCGGTTCATGCCTTTTCTTTAGGGGTGAACCGCTCGCCTATTAGAAACACACTTGATCAAGGTCAGAAAATTTTTTTTCCAAATTATTTGAGATCAGTAACCTGATTTTTGGCGAATTTTCGCTAATTTTGGTGAATTTTCGATATTATTTTGCGATTTTTGCAAAATTTCGGGGGGAGCTCACGTCAAAATTCAAGCCTATTGAGTCAAATGAAAGGTACAGACCACTTATTATATTTTAGGATTGCCCAAAAAAAAACGAATATTTTGTTTTTCGTGTCTCTTGTAAAAATATGTTAGTGTATCATGTTTTAAGAGCCTCCTCAAAAAATCAGCTCAGAAAAGTTTTTTTAGAGGTCGCTCAAGATTTTTAAAAATTTTCAAAATCGTCAAAAATTTAATTTTTTTAAAATTTATTTCTCGTTATTTTATCATTTTCTAGGTTGAAAAAAATCTCATTCTGAAAATTTAAAATCGATATTTTAATTTCTAATGATCACTCAACACAATACTAGTATCTCTATTATTAAAGAATTATTACGATGTTCTCTTTAGTGTTTCTGTTTGTGAAATATTGTTTGTGATCTACTCTGTGATTTTTTGTCTTTATAGTATATGTAGATATATGTATTTATTGTGTTAACTTTTTTCTGTAATGTTTTCCCTGCTCTGTAAGTGGGTTCATCCCGTTGAGTAGGTGTAGGTAATAAATAAATAAATAAATAATTATTTTAACTTTAAAAGTAGTGTACCTACTTAAAATATATTCGAGCGACCTCTAAAAAAAATATTAACGAACTAATAATATTTTTTATTGAATTTGATGAACAAAAGAATAGAAATAAATCACGAGATACTTAAATAATTTCTCGAGGCAAAATTTAATACCGCACTGTGGGTATCAAATATTTATAATTTTTGAATTTTTTAAAATTTAAGTGTCTCGTGATTTATTTCTATTCTTTTGTTCATCAAACTCAATAATAAAAATTATTAGTTCGTTTATTATTTATTTATTTTAGGCACACTACTTTGAAAGTTAAAATAATTACGGGTGACTTTTAGAAATTAAAATATCGATTTGAAATTTTCGGAATCGCTAGTTTAGCCTAGAAAATGATAAAATAANGTTTTACAAACGCTTTTTTTTTAGTTATTATTTTATTTGAGTAAATTTAAATGGTAACAATGAATAAACAAAACATCAAGGATTTTATTTTTGTGCTTACTTTTGTTCTACACGTTTTACTTTCAAAGATTTCAGTACGTAAAAACGCCAGAAATGTCACTATTTCTCGGCCGGGAATATGGCCATCTTAAGAATTTCTTAATTTCTTACTAGATCGGTTTTCGGTCTTATACCTTGAACATAAGTGCCAAAAAAATGTCTTCTTTATCATGATCTTAAATATACCTATCGTAATATTCTAACATTCGAAGTAATTATTTAATAATAAGTTTCGAAACCCAAAATCTCAAAAACCTTTTGTACCTCAAAAATCTGGAGAATTTTATCGGTGGAATACCGCAACAGCCTATAGGTACCTATATCGCTGTTTTTAACTTGACTAACATAATAAATAATACTTGTTTTTGAAGGATTTTGCTGCTTTTAATCAGATATACATACACAGTGGCGATATTATTTAAATTTAATAGACTTAATAGCTGTTCGCTAGCCGGTGGATAATAGTCAAGCGCAGTGTTTAAATTATGTATTTGCGTTTATTTATTTAAATTACACCTTCTGTTCGGTGCCTAGTCGAGAAGTGGCCGCCAAACAGGAAGTTGGTGTTTTACGCACAACGTTTTAACAATTTAATTTCCCTGGATTTTGATTAATGGGACCGCGGAGAAGATAAATATTATTTATAATATCCGCCAGCCAGGCCTTCGTGTCTTATTTTTAATACTTTTCAGTTTCACACTAATTACGGCAGATATTATTATTATAATGGGAGGTAATGGGCAGCCAGGAGACGGTCTACCTTTATTTATGATCATTAAATTCCTCATTTTACATTATAATTATGTCGCGGATCGCGGGTATCTGAATATGCCCCACTGATGCCCAATTATTATTAATCGCGGCCGTGTTTTTTTTTGTCGGTAACTTTATGGTGCAATTATTTGGTTTTATTACCTCCATTCATTAATTTTCTGTCACGCTAGTCTATGCTGAAGAAAATGATCAATTCCTTGCATTTTTCGAGTCCCTGTCCTGTGTTTTTCTTTGAGAAAGTTGAGTTCCTTTCTTCCCTGTCCGCACGCGGAAGGATATCGAATAGAAGTGCCTGTTATAAAATTGGAGCGGTGGAGCCCAAAAACTGTATAGCGAATGAAAAAACTGTATAGCGAATGAAACAATAATTTGTAGATGTTATTTATACTTATACAGTAGTAAATTATATACAAAATTGTATATTTACATATGCAAAAGTAGGAATCTATCGAGATCTAGCGTGTTGAGGGTAGTATCATGCCATAATATCTCAAGAGCGGCGCATTCACTTTGATAATACAATACAAAGCACTCTAGGATAGATAGGGGGATAGGATAGGCATGACATTAAAAAAAATTATAGACAATATATTTGTATCCATTATTATCCATGAACAATTTTATATTTAAAGAAAATCGTCTCGTTTCTATAAACTCAACAAATTTTATATACCTACCTACATTAAAAGAGTTTTTATAAGGGACCTTTTAGCAATAAGCATTGATGAAATCTAAATATTAGTAATAAATTTAATTTTTTATGAACCAGGGTTGGCATTAATGTACCTAACTTTGATACGTAGACTTCGATTTCACGACCATTTTTCGAGTTTCGTATTACAAATTATGTAAATTATTCGATTTCTCTGAAAATTGTAATCATATCGATAAAAAGCTTGTAGAATTTCATTTACAGTTTATAATGACAACAAAGGCGAAGCGAACATATGGCGTCTTTCTTCATTATTTAAAAGATCCAGAATAAAAATATTTAATAATAAGTGTGATAGAAACTATAAGATGAAAATTAGATAACACAGGCCGACAAAATTTGGCCGACGACCCTCTAACCCAGAAAACAGAATGTACTTTTACGGAGGATTTTAGTGCACTGAATTCGAATCCGAGGTCCAAATTTCTCAATTGGCTCTGGTTTTCGAGATATTCTAACCTAAAAGTGCCAAAATCGTAATTTTTTGACATATTTGAGGTTATGTTACATGGATAGGTAAATTTTTTTGATGAAACCATTAATGGGGTCTTAAAGTACTATACTTACTCTTTAAAACACATCATTTTTTCGTCTTTGAGAAGTCGCATGTTGAAATTTAGCACTTTCACTTATTTATCGCACGCAAAAGAAAATTTCTTGATTCAAAAAATGTACAACGATTGATTTTAAGGTATCTTTCAAGAAAATTATTTATTTATTTAAAGACTTTAAATTTCTACCTAGAAAAAAAATTTCTTACTTTAAAAATAGGCAGCATTTAAAATAAATATTTTATACTTACGATTAAAGAGTAATATATTACTTTAGGACCACATTAATGATTTCAACAAAAAAATTTACCTTTCCATGTAACATAACCTCAAATATGTCAAAGAATTGCGATTTTGGCACTTTTAGGTTAGGATATTGCGAAAACCACAGCCAATTGAGAAATTTGGACCTCAAAATCCTTCGGAAAAGTACATTCTGGTTTCTGGGTTAGAGGGTCGGTCAAATTTTGTCGGCCTAATTTCCATCCCTCTGTCGGACAAGTAACTTTGGAGGTAAAATTTGATTGTAGTACAATCATAATATGACCGCAGATTTGTTGAAAATTTGTATTTATTAATTTAGTTTTGGGGGCTAACTTTGGGGGATAATTTCATTCTATAATTCACATAGGAATACTTATAAGTATATCATGTATTTTTTAAATTAAAAAATTAATGTAATTAAACATTAACCATCTAAAGATTTTTATCCATACGAATCAGCAGCCCCAGAAATAGCGATCCCTTGTTGACCCCACACAGGTGTACCAAATCGAAACCTAAGCGCCTAATACAATTATCGCTCACGGCTTACCCTTGCTGCCCTTCCCTTGTCGCCCTTGCCTGGCGACGCGATCCTGTAGCGGCAGAGCGTCGAAACGTCCGCTCCGTATGACAGCCAGGATAATGGGCGGCCATGGCAGGATTACGCTCGCCCCTGGTGACCGGTGGGTGGCCCTGCAAGTGATATCAAGTGGCCTGTCTACATGGCATGTCGCCACTGTTACCGCAGCCCTCTGATTGATAGCCCCAGTCACGCGAAACTGATACCGGACCACACACGCTAAATCCGGCCACGCCCCCGTCAGGCCCCGCCCAGTCGGATCGCCCCGCCCCCTTTCGGCAGCCGAGGCCGTTCGGCTACCCGTTCGGTTAGTCTCAGAGTGGGCAGCGCTTGCATTGGACATGCCGTGTTGATTGCTGACGGTTGTGGTGATTCTGTGATCTGTGACTGTGTGTTGTGATGTTGCTGGGAGCAATGCCCGAAGACAGTGCCCCTGCGGGACTGTTGGTGCCCACGGCGAAGAGCCAGAGGGCCACGGACTTCTCCATCGCGGCGATTATGGCGAGAGGAGCAACTCCGCCGCCGGACGGCGAGGCGCTGGTGGCTAGGGAGGTGCCCGCCGACGGTTAGTACAATGTTCCAAAATCGAAAACTCGCGATTTCTTTTTGAGGATTAACGTATGCGAAAAAATGCAACCAATGAACAATACCAAGAAAATTACAATAATGTACAAAAATTCTCCACCTACAATAATTATTTACTTTGCGATTGATACTAAACATGTATTACAAAAAATCTACTAAATTTCCTATATAATCTCAAATATTTCAATTTTAAACAAGATTTAGTCCAAAAAAGCAAATGGCGGAGGTTCTTGTCAATATTGTCCACTCGATATATTTTTTCCATAAATTCGCTAAATTCACTGAAATATGGTTACAACAGGAGTCTAAGAGTTTCTAAAACAATTTTAGATTAAGAAATATTACAAGAATTTTTTAAACGTAGGTACCTATAGATAGCTAGATACTAGGAATTTTATATTTTTCCATAATTCGTCTTTCATCTGCTTTAATATCTATTAAAAAATCAAATTAATTTGATGTAAATTTCTTTTAAAAAGTAGGTACTACATATTATTAATAAATGTAGCTTTAAAAAGAAACATATGTAGTAAATTTAAGGGATTTTTATTTATGCATTTTTCAACCAATAGGTACTTACTGACATACTTTTTTATGGACATTTTCAGAAAATTACCTACTTGATTATTGTTGAATTTTGTAAATTTTCATCACTTTTACTGAATTTAGCAAAAACTTTACAAAAGTGACATCTATTACCTACCAAACAGAAAAAAGAGCAATCCGAAAAAAATGGAAAAAATTGAAGAAACTAAAAGAAATACACCTACCTATATATATTTAGGTATAGGTAGATATCTACCTACTCTTTTGCCCGAATAAACTCAATGACTATGACAATAAATATTTTTTCACAATTTATATAAATAGGTAGGTACCTATATTCGAATCAAAATCGATCAAATTTGAGATTAAGTAAATCTCAAGCACAAATTAACACAAGCTTGATACAACATTGTATTTAAAACAATTTAAAGAAGTACAAGTTTCAGTTTTCTTGAATGAATAATGAAAACTAAAATTTCGGTTCGCTAGAAATAAAGATATTTAAAGTGTTTTTTAATTAAATTTCAACATAAAAGCAAATTAAAAACCGAACTCAGGGAAAAACATATTGCAAATTCACTTAAAGAATCCATGTACCTACATGATGCTTTAGATTTCAGAGCAACATGCTCTTGATCATTCGGAACGTCGGTATTTATCATCTGCTAAACTTGATATGTATGGCAGATATTGGCAAACATGTCTACCTTTCCAAACCTATACTATTAGATTCTAAAAACGGTTCAAATTTTTCGAATTATTCCGTTTCTTTTCCTAATATTTTTGGAAAAAAAATAGGCAAAAAACTTCTAGAAATTTCAGACCTCCAGGCTTGTTTCTGTATTGTACTGTACTGTAAATATAAATACGTATCTATATATAGATATCTCTATTGTAGAATGAATGAATGAGATGAGATTTTTTTGTCTGTCAATACATTTATTTAGTTAGGTATACTTACGTTGATTTCCTGTTGAAAAAATCAGTTTTAAAGAATCTGTCAAATATTATTGGGACACAAATATTAAGTACTTGCTATTGCATATTATATTCACATTTAGTTATTTTTACAAATTTTAATCCAAAAATGCGAAGACTATAAAAATCCTTCCGAATTTATTAGGTAGGAATAAAGTATTTTTGTTTTTTTAATTTAAAACGAAAATATATGCATTTACTTGACAATGTCCATTTAATTCATGGTAATGCATATTGTTTACATGTTTACATATTTAGCCCAGTGTGTAAATTCATTTTTATGTGGGTCAGCACTCATTTATTAAGATCGCGCATGACAAATGCTTTTAAAAGTCCAATTCCGTTGTTAAATACCCATTGTACCTATTGATTGCAACATATTCCTTCTAGGTGGTATGTCCCGAGTCAGTTCTCCTGACATAGAGGACCCCCTAGAAGACGATGATATAGAAGTCGACGTAGAAGAGTGCTCCGACAGCGAGTCCTCCAGAACGGCAAAGCCTAAATTGCTAAGGCAGAGCCCGGCCATCTCAGACTGTGGCTCGGAGCCGGCGGACTTAGACCGGGAATCGCCCGATATCGTGGCCGAGAAACCGGCCACGCCAAAGGCGCAAAAGATTCTCTGCAACTGCGAGGAGTTGCTGAACGTCGAATGTCACCTGGAGACGAAGGATCTGTGGGACAAATTCTTCGATCTGGGCACGGAGATGATCATCACCAAGAGCGGGAGGTAAGTTTTAAACGTTACAACTTTTTTTGATCGTATAGTGGCAGTTTATTGGTAAATGAGTGAAATGGCATAATCTCGGGCATAATCTAAGGATAAAAAGTATTTAATCTTTATTGGGGGAAGAAAGATATTCACAAGAATAATCCAAATTCGGTCTAAAAAACTATAAATGCACTTACTTACATACAAGAAGGTACTCTTCTATTATAAAGGGGTCTCCTAATTTCGAAAATAAATTTATTATGACGGTAATGCCAACTTTACAAGTTCTTGACTGCTTAATTTTTAATATAAACATTGCAATTGACATTATTTAGGATTTATGAAGGTACGATGTCAGTGAAGTGCACAACTTAATCTTTAAACATCACAATCGAACTGTGAGGATATTAGAGAAATTCTACCAAATCTAGCGCTTGACGGACCTGTTTTAATCTCACCTTGGCGGCATGCACAATAAATATTGAAAATTGTAGAACCCACTACAATATGTAATGGGGAATATCCACATTTCTATATCGTCTAACAGCGTTGCTGATCACAAAGTTGTGTTAGTGTTACTAAAGTAATATTAGTCTACTCATGAAATCAAATATACATCCCATATATCATTGCCACTTTATTTTCTGTAAAAAATACAGTTTGGGACGACTATTTTTTGAGTGTCAATTTTTGTACACACTGTTCCTTTTTACAATAAAAATGTTATGTTGTTTGTGGGTGCTTTTAAATAAATGTTACTGTCGTACGACTGACGTAAGCATAGCATCCACCATCTGAATCAGCTTCATTCGAATTACTAGACAAATTACACTCACCCTACCCACAAGTCACCGCCGTTTCAGGAAAACATAATCTCACTGATGACTTACTCACATATTTATTGCACCGACGCCTGCACCAGATCGAGGGGTAGTTTATAAAATTGACAAATGTATCAAATAAGTGGGCTTCAATAAAAATCCATGTACCCCAACAATAGCATCCCGGTTTCGGTGTTATACACGGCAATTGAAACGCAATACAAGCATCGAGGGATAATCCACCCTCTTACGAGGCACATGTGGCGAGAGGGTGGCCAGTGATATTGTGATTTTTTCAATAATCCTACTCCCCACGCTGTCGTAAAGTTTTATTGGCATGCCTCCCAGTACGACGCAATTATTGTGGAATTAGAAGAGATGAGCGGAGCGCTGCTTGCAACTGTGGAAATCATGAACTTAAAAAAATGGTTTATAGCAAGGATGTTTCTGAGCAACTTTTATTAAGCAACTAAAGGTCTAAATGTAAGCCGACCCTGTGCATCTTGTCACATGCGTTACGTGTTGCAGTATTACTTATCCGGCGTATAAAACAGTACCGTGTGACATGTACTACGGGAACATTTTACAAGCAAGGTGCTTTTTACGAATGAGTGTTGTTTTACTAAAGACGGCATACTAAATTTTCACAACATTCACTATTGGTGTGATGCAAAGCCTCATACAAAAGACATATTACCTTAAAGTGGCTGTAAAATTTTATAATTTATACCATAACACGCTGGCATCAATAATTGACGAATAAACTACCTAAGGTGATTAGAACAGGTAATAGTAAAGCTATAATCAATTCAATAAATTAATTAATTATATGTTCATCATGATCATGATCTATTAATTATTACGGCCCTGATCAGTGCTTCTCCATCCAAGATCACTGAAAACGGCCGAGTGAGATCAAGGTACCGACAACGGAGTGAGACTGCTGGTTTACATATGCTGTGCCTGTAAACGTCGATTAGCTGCCGAGGCGGATGATATACTTACGAGACCGAGATTGTCCCCAAGGGAAATATAAACGCGAAAGCATCCACGAACGGATTATGTACTAATCCTCCCCATCTGATAACGACAGAAAACAGCCGAAATAGCGGCGGCCACACCTCCCACGACAAGAATTACCTGCCCGATCCGTCAATAAAAATCACATTTGCTTATCTCGATCTCCGAGAACGGGTTCCTTGGAAATGACTCAATAACCGGCGGACATTATAAAATTAAGATCTGCTCCCCGTTTACAATACTGCTCGTTTTAAGTGCTTTATCAGATTCCGGGGCCTAACTTAATTGCTGGATAACTCCATCAGCTTTGTTTACGGCCTCGGGAGGAACGTTTACGACTAAGTGTTCGATTACACATATTTGGTGTACTACGCTGGGAGTCGACGTCCGATTGTGGAGTTTATTGCCGCAATGATTCCGGTGAGGTATGGAAGAAGGATGCGACGAGGCTTGGGCAACGGTGGGTTTCATGTGCGGGGTCGATGGGGTTCCACCTTGGCCAAATATGGTACTCTTTTCATGTACATGCAAAAGTTTTAAAAAATTGTTGCTATCTGAAGTTTTTTTTGGATGATACTACCTACATTTTGTATAAGGTGATTTTAAAAGTTGTTGCAAGTCAAACTTTTAAGTTTCTTATCTTGTCGTATTTGGATAGAATGCTTTTTCAGTTGCGGTTTTCAAACTACCTATATGAGTTTTAAAATGCGAATATTTGTCTCAGCCTTGGCAATGCAATGACGTCACCGCATGGGACGGTAAGCCGGCTTGGCGTTACTTCCAGATGAGTTTCTGCATCTACAGATTGTTTTAGCGTTTGTGCACATTAAATTTAAAAAATGGAAGCATGTAAAAACAGATTCTTCTAATTTACCAGAAGTACGTTTATTAGTGGATTTTTTTAATAAAAACCACGACTCTATCAGTGTTGCAATGAGAGGAATGAAAATGCAAAGGTTACGTTTCAATAACGTGTAAAAATACGTTTGCAGTGAAAGTTTTGATATTTTTGTACAATAAGAATAGTAAATAAGAATAAGGATTTTGAGTTTATTTGGACAAAACCGTTTCTGTCACAGGTTCCAAAGATTTACCTAATCAAATACAAAATTCTTATTACTATTTTTATTTCCATGGAAACTACATAAAATCTACCTAATATCTTATAAATACATAGGTATATTAATAATATAATATTAATTATTGTGTATTTTTATATAAATACTTGTTGTTAGTACCTATAGCTATTTGTATAATCACAAAAAAATTAACAATGGAAATAAACACAAGTGTATAGTGATTCTAGAGGATCCAAACGTATTTATTACGTACCTAAACTACGCAGGATAGTTTTGTTGCTTTCAAAATAAGTTATTTTTCAACTAAAAGATATTTAAAAAAATCAAAGTAGAGACTAATAGACTATTCATTTTAGATCCGCACGACAGAATTACGGGGACATTATTATTTTCTTAGGCGCCTTCACGCTAGTGCTCTCACACTGGGGAATAATAAATATTTGTAATTTTTTTTCTGTTCTGTCTTCCATATTGCTACCAAAATTCGGTATCTTAACGTACTTAATCGAAACTTAACAGACAACTAAAACCCGACTACCCGATTAACTGACAACACACGCTTGCGGCATCGACTTCCCATGCGGTGACGTCACACCTGCCGGTTCAGCGGAGACTCGGCGCGACAGTTTATGATTTTTTTTTTGGATGACTTGTAGGCGATATAAAATTCTAATTTTTTTGCAGAGAACCTTAAAATTGCGATATCTTTCCATTAAGCAAATAAAAAAAAATTGCTGAATGAGCCCATTGCTTATCTTAAATTACCAAAATGACCATCGTCAATAACTAAAAATAACCATCGAATGTTTAAAATTACCAATATTTTTCCCTTAGGTATATTCCAATAATTTCATTAAAAATGATTATTTATAGTAGTCAATAAATATTTTTTTATACTTTTCCTGTATGTATGCTGTGCGCAATATAATTTTTCTAAAATATGTAGGACATATACCCAGAATGAGAAGGCAGTTAAACAATTTAGAAATGTACAATCAGTGTTGTAATTATTTATTTGTGTCCATTTTTAATTTCAAGAAAGTGGACCATTTTAATTACTTATCACAAAAACAGTCAATAAGAGAAAAATTAAAAGGAATAGGTTTAGAAAAGTGTAATATCGATAGGATAGAGAACAAAAAAACAGATTTTGATTAAATATACAGGGTGTTCAATGTAGAAAAAACAAGTTTTGGCTGTTCTAAGTTTAGCAAGTTCGACAGTTTTTAAAGTAACTAAAATAAATGATAGACGTCCTTCTATATCCCTTCCAAATATCAATACATACTTCAGTTTATACTATATAAAAAATTGTAAATTTTCAATTAGGTTCGAAATTAAGCTATCGAAAAGCAACTTTTTTTTTGAATAAATTGAAATATCTCGAAGACCATTACAGATAGATATAGGAAAGCTTGACAAAAGTCCCCATAAAATTACGCGTAGAATCCAAATACGCAAAAATATACAGGGTGTTCCATTTAAAATAAGCAAGCAGATGGCGACTTCCGGTATAACCGGAAGTACTACAACAGTGGCGTTATTTTATTTAAAGAGAACACCTCCGAAAACACCAAAGCCTAAATTTTCAAAATTGAACGAAATTTACAATATAATTAATTTTGTTATTGTTGCAGAAAATAATTAAATCAAGCATGTGATTTACAGTTCAGAAATTTACTAAACTTCTGATTGTGACGTCACAATGCAGCAATAGATGTGATGTCTTCCACTACAAGGTAATCGTTAGATACATCAAACTGTACAATATCATTGTAATTTTGAAAAAAAAAAAACGTTCAAATATAGTACGTTCATGTAGGTAATATAAAAATTTTTAATTTAAAAATTCATAAATCTGGTTTACAATGGAACACCCTATATAAAAAATTATACCTACAAAATTTCTAGTTATTATCTAGCTATAACTTTCATATTTTTAATTTCTTACTAAGCTTTATGCCTGGTTCTGGTATTAATAAACCAATAAATCGGTGGTACATCGACATCAGTATTGACTAATAATTCAGGCACATACAATTTTCCATCAAGCATTGAAAATAAATAAAACCTCAGCGTGCATGCAGTTGAATATTAA